CCTTCACGCCTCGCCCCTCCTCACCCGCCCCTCCACACCCCGCCTTCACACCTCGCTCCTCCACTCCTCGCCCCTCCTCACCCCTCCATGCCCCACCCCTTCATGCCGGGCCCCATCCAAGTGTCCCGCCTCCTGCCCCCGCCCTGACGTTGTGGAATGCAGCATCTGCTGCCATGATGACGCCAGCCCGTGTTGACTTCGCTCGTCTCTCTAGTGTTGCAGGTGTTTCGCTTTTATTCCATGTGGAGCGGCTACGGAGACTTGTTACAGTGCTCGTTTTATTTAATGCAAGTACAAGCGATCAGTTGGTTTATGAGTTTCCAAGTCTGTGGCCTTAAAAAATAAAACAGGAAAAGGGTTGGATAAGATTAATTTGAATTTCCCTGGAAGTGATTTTTAGTATTTATAACTTGTGTATTTGAATTATTTGAAATGATTTATTTGAATTCGTGGGTACAAAAGCACAAGTTCAGGTTTCCACTGACGCTGACTTCACCAATAGCCGGGAGCAGACCCTGACTCAGCACAAACGAGTGAAGCACGACATCCACGGACAGACCAGGCGCTTCATTAGGAACCCATCATTTTACAGACAGAGGAGGCCAGGGAGACGAAATTACTTGCAGTACACTGATCTCCAGAGTGTCAGAGCTGAAACTCTGGTCCTGAGCCCGGGCCGTGCTCCTGCTGCTGCACACAGGTCCCACGGATCCAGCAAACTGTGATCTTATCTGAAGAATTACACTGAATGTAGAATTTTGATTCTCAGTTCTGCTTAGAGTTAAAATATCAGTATTTGTTGGTTTATGAGACATATTTTTCCATTTAGAACTGTTAGCATTAAATATTTACTCGGTAATCACAGCTCACTGTAGGCAAAGGGATCTAAACGTGACCATGCTCTATAGGTAGGTGGGGCAGCACTGTCAGATCACCTAACTACTGTGGGTTTCATCTACACTGATGATGAACAGATTTGAGGCAGGGCAGCCTTTTCAAAGGGCGGTGGACAAAGCTTTGTATTTTTAAATGTAGTGGAGACAAGGAAACTACAAATGTCCGGGGTCATTTTTGGTGGTTTGTTTTTTCTGGGTTAGGATTCTACACAGCCACAGCAGCCAGTAGAGCACATGCTTTATGACTGAGAATTGACTTTCCTAAATGATTATTACCAGGAGTCCCTGGGACCAGCCAGCTAACACATATGCCTAATATAGCAGAAATAATGATGGGGGCCATTAAAAACAGCCCTTGGAAAGAGATTTTCAATTTTTCATTCACAAAGCAAATCAAGCTTCCTAATTAGCTACAATGCGCTGGAAAGCTCGGCTCCTACTAGCCTGCAAGCCCTTGCTCTCTGCTTCCTTTCGTGACCTTCAACTCTGTTACAGGAACAGCTTGGCTGCTTTCTTTAGTTCACTCGTGTTCAAAGAACTCGTGGCAGGCAGTGGTAACCATGGCGACGAAGGCCATAAATTCCTGGAAGTCACATTCACCATCTCCATCGTTGTCCAATGTTTCCATGACTTTGTCGACAACCTCCTGCTCTTTGATTTCCTGAGAGATAAGAGAAATTGCCCAGCTTATTTTTAAAGGAAATTTAAGGCCATCAAAACATGATTAAAAGTTGGCTGGCTTTCATAATTTGTATCAGAAACAATCCAAGATGTACAATACAAAATGCCAGAAAAGATTTCTCCTGTGACCAGGGACTGTTGGCCAGGCAGAACCCTCTGGGGGGTCTGGGCTATTTAAAAAGACTGTATGGAACAACCAAGACCTGAAAAACTGCAGGTTGTTATCGCTGTACTTTAAACAAAACACCCGGAAAAGAAGACTACAGTCTAGATCCGCACGAGCATATTATATGCAAATGTCTTGAAAGAAAAAATGAACTTTTGGCCCCCCTAAGGTTTTCATTGTTTCTGTGTGTGGAAGTTCCTATAGTGAAGGCTTCCAGTGGATTTTCATGTTTTGAAAGTGTTTTTTGGCTGAAATAACTCTTGGGAACATGTCCTAAATTTGTTAACTCCTTGTGTTCTTTTTGCCTGTTGAGTTACCTTCTAGGTCATGGAACTTTTCCTGACAGTTCTCTTGTCCAACAGCGAAGCCAAGAGAATGGTGTCACAAAGGCTCAGAGGAGCAAACACAGTGCAGGGCTACAAACGTGGTGGAAAGAATGTGGCACTGAACACTGAAGAAGAGCATAAATGCAGATTGCTCAGAATAACTAATCCCTAGGGCAGGAGATCTTGGCCCAAAGAAGTCAAGTAAAATGTACAATTGCTGCCTTGAGTATAAAACATATGAAAGATTGAGATTCCAGTGGGGGTTGCGCTGGGCCCTATAAACATCTGCTGAACGGTGGTTGGGAGCAGTGCATTAATTTCAGTACATTATAGATTTGCCTCCAAACCGAAATTACCTTGATAAAATGAGGCCAACAAATGTTCATGATATCTTGATACACTGACCATGAATTCTTCCTCTTTTATAAATTGTGGTTCCCACATGCTAAGCTTTTTTTATGTTTTAAAATCAATAGTTAATAATAGTAGCTACTACTTGTTATGCTTTCACTATATGTTAAGCATTTAACAAACACTGTCTTGTTTCATCCTTACAAAAATCCTTTTTACAGAAGAAACTGGAACTTTTTTTTTGATGAGGAAGATTCTCCCTGAGCTAACATCTGTGCCAATCTCCCTCTGTTTTGTATATGGGACACCGCCACAGCATGGTTTGATGAGTGGTGTGTAGGTCCACGACTGGGATCCAGGCCCTCGAACCCCAGGCCACCAAAGTGGAGTGTGCAAACTTAACCACTATGCCACCAGGCCGGCCCCAGAAACTGGAACTTTTTGGTTGTTAAGTGGAAGGCAGAATTGTTGGGACTAGATAACTGAATGTGCGAGTGGGGCAGCTGCCACTCTGAAATTGGATGCCTGAGAAAACCAGTCTCAGAATCAAACTAGAGGACACCAACCCCTTTCAAGCCTCCAGGCTGCTTCCTCTGCTCTGGCAGTGCCATTGACAGCAACGGAGTGTTTGGGTGGGAGTAGGGACAGGAGAACCCCAGCCAGCCTTGCAGACGACGGGTGCTGCCTTGCTGCTGGAACCTGGGGCTTGTCCTGTGCAGAGAGGCTCAGCTAGGTCAGCAGGGCAGCTCCCCATCAATGTGCAGCAGGGCCCTGCCTGGTGCTCTGGTATCTTCCCCAGAAGTAGCTCTTGGTCAGACACTAGTGCACTGGTTCATTGTCTGTCCATTTCCCCTGTGTATGATTGGTCCCTTCAATGACCTTGGTTCTGGGCACTAAGGGAAGGTCAGGTACCAGGTGGACTGCAGTTCTTTGCCTCAAAGGCACAAGACTGGTATGCAGTAGGGATGCTGGGTGGCTGATCTGAGGACAGTGGAGACGGTGGGTAGGGAAGAGAGTCCTCCATGAGGTGTCTGGACGTACTCCCACCACAGGCCAGAGCAGGAACTGCCTGGAGAGTGACAGGGCTCATCGGGGGCCCTCATGCAGCTTCCTAAGTTAGGGTCTCAAACTGAAGACGACTCCTCTCCAACGTCCTCACTCCAGGGAGCCCCCTGCAAGGCCTCAGGGCCCCCAAAGGATGCAGGGGCCTCTCTCGTGCCCTCAGTCAAGTAGGTTGTGGCCGTTCACTGATGTGCCTGGCTGGGTGCCCCAGAAGCAGAGGCCGTGGCTTCAGGTCTGTGTCTCTCCCAGTATTGAACATAGTGAGTGCTCAGTAAACTTTGGCTGAGTGAATGGCATCTTCTATCAGTATGGTGCATGCTAAACATCTAGCCAAAATGGTCCTTTTCCCAAAAACAAAAGCTTATTTATAACAACTTGCTTATATGTTCACTATGGCCCTTGATAAGTCATGAAAATATATTTTCCATCCCATTCTGCCATCATTATTGCTGTAAATCCTCAGATTTCTTTTTTCAGAGAAAAGTCAGCATTATTTGGAACTTTTGAGACAGCAGTTTTTCCTTGATGCTTCTACTATACACAAAACAGATGAAAATGAAAACAGTGGGGCCCATCTAAGCTAGTCTCCATAATGAGGGTTCAGTTGTGAAAACAACTTTTCAGAAGAAACCTAGTAGTCCTGAAATGGAACTGGAATCACCTCAGGGCAGCTCAGAAGAGAAAGTGTACAGGTGGTTTTATAAGTGGAGAGGAGAATGGCTAGACTGTTGATTTTAAAAAGCAAGGCTCACCTCTAAAAAATGGGAAAGCTCATTGTTGATGAGCTCCTTGAGTTCAGATTTCTTCAGCTTGTGCTTGTCGCCCTCCCTTCCGGAATATTGATGGAAAACATCAATGAGGGCCACCATGGCCTTCTCCAGCTCAGACATCCTAGGGGGCCACAGAGGAAAAATGTCTTCTCATGCTTCTGCCTTGTTTGTATATAGAACAGTTAAAGTGTTATCTAAACAGACCTCAACCCAGAGGAGGGGGCTAGACCGGCCTTGGCTCATCCTCTTTCAGGCTTAGAGAAGGGCACTCTGGGAGCTTGCACAGTTGTCACAATTCTCCCGTCTGCCTCTTAGACCCACTCTCCCACCCTCTCCTCTCTTCTCTGTCCCTGTGGACCCCACTGATAAGTTCCCATGCCCTCTGGCTTCTAGTTGGGTTTGGCCAATGGGAAACTTCAGCAAAAATACAGAGGCAGAACAGTGAGGGAGTTCAGGGCTAGAGTCCTCCTTCTTCCCCAGTAGGCGACCTTCTGCCCTTGCAGGGCTCCAAGATGAGTGACAGAGCACGGTTGAGCAAAGCGTCGACTGCAAGCCGTTAGAATTAATGAGAAAGAAGGTGACTAGGAGCCAAATGAGAATACAAAAATCAATAGTATTCCTATATTCTATCAGTAAACAACTAGAAAACATAGTAGAAAAATCCTATTCATATAGCAACACACATATCACTTAAGAATAAGTTTAGCAAGAAAAGTGCAGGTCCTTCAAAAAGATTCTAAGGATCATAAAATGTAGGAACTTGCTTTCCTTTGAATTAATATATAAATTTAGCTCATTTTTAATAAAAATATTTATGGGATTTTTTTTGATGGGTGAGGAACATGACCACAAAGCAGCTGTAAAATTCAGCTGGAAAAATAAATATAGCAGAATTGCCACACATTCTTTTGAAAAAGAAGATCAATGAAAGGTACCTTGACCTACTGGAAACAAAAATGTGTCATCAGGTGATACGATCAAGCTGGTTCTGAGGCAGAATAGACAAACGCGGCAGGAAGATGAGCCACAGGCGGGTGTTTAGTATTCATGCAAGAGCTGCCTCTGGTGCACAAGGGGAGTGTCGCCTGTTCACTGATGTGGCCGCACAAATGCTGGAATAAGTGTTTCTTTGCAGTTGCCAACGTAAGAAACTTCCTACTTCCCTCACAGCATGTATCTTATACCATAGCCTGCAAACTGAGGAAATATCTGTTTAATCCTGGGAATTAGGCACATCTTAGACAGGATGGCTTGTCAGTTGTCTCTTAAAACTGAGAGACTCAGCCAGAGAAATTTACCAACTTTTGGCCTTGAGTTCTAATCATTAAAGAATCTTTGCACTGCCATAGTTAAAAATAATAAAAAAAATTACATCTGATTGTTGAAAAATCATTCCCATGTTGAATATGTCACATCTTAAAAATAAACTGGAATAAAATATTTAAAATTTTACTTATTTCTGATTTCCTAAAGGAAAAACGATTGAGAATGTTTGTCTTGGCCTGATCTTTGCTAAATTTACTCTATTAGTAATCAGTATTGCTCTCAAGTCCCTAAAAATCAGATATATCACTTGTAGATACAACAATTCAGATGGATTAAAATCTTTAATATGTCATACCTTCTTATCCTTTGCACTCAAGTTTTCAATTATTGATTTTTTTGTTTTTAAGTAACAAAACAAAAAACCCGAGAAACTTTTGTATCATCCTGATGCTTCTCAAAGTCTGTGATGATTTGGGGAAGGGGAGGTTAAACTAATTTTTCATGAAGAATGCCTACTGGGATTTTTTTAAAGGCAAGGCATAAAACATATAGTCTATATGTTCGAAAACTCCATAAAATGTGATTTTCTTCATAACCACACTACAAGTTAATTAGAAAATTTTTTTCCTATTAGATTCTCCCCTTTGAGAAACAATTGATGGTTTAAAGCTTATCTTGTAAGAAAAATATAAATCAAATATCCATGTTTCCTTTTCACTTCATTCTGTGAATATTCTGCATTAATCTTTTTATATGAAAAACAAGAGAACTTTTGGGCTTTAACTCCTTAGAGGGACACATCACACATGATGTGAGGGTCCCCTCTAAGGAAAGGGTCCTACTTCCCTGAGAAATTGTAAGACTAAGGAAAGTTAAACTCACCATAAACCCCAATTTCTTTGACCCATTTTGTAATTTACTTTTAAATAGTAAATTTACGTGTAAATTTACCTGTACAGTTGTCATGTAATTTCTGAGCGGTGTCCAGGGGGACCCTGACATTTCCCATTGAGGGAAACTGGAAAACCGAGAAGCAGGTATATACCAAGGGCCGGGGCAGAAGCCACGAGAAGAGAAAACATTGCTTTATGTTGCTTTATGAGATAGGGCTAAACTAGCATCAGGTTGCCCGTCATTCTCAGCCCCCGGGAGAAGCAAAAACCCTGCTCTTCAAGGGGCAAAGATTGCAAAATATTTCTAAGAAGCACTATTTGTAGTACTTCTGGAGAAATGTCAGCAGTCACCTCTGAGCCACCAGACCTGAGGTTTCTCCGATTTATAGGAATAAAAACATAGGCAAATGAATCTCTAGCTACCTAGAGTTGAGGTGATCATGCCCACAAAACAGTAATAAGATCCACACTTTTGAAACGCTGCCATTTACCCTAAGGGGGCTTTTTAAACTACTGCCCCATTCCCAATCCCACCCTCTTGATCCCCTGCCCCCAAAAGAAAAGAATAGGTTTTCCTGAGTGTCCTCACGTCAGTGGCTGTTGGTTGCTGCTCCTCGTCACCTCTGGCTGCAGAGTCTGGAGTGGCAAGAGTGATGGGCAGAGGCAGCCTCTTATTCCTTGCTCCCTGGGCGGTTGGAGCGTAGGCCGGTGCAGTCCCACTGCAGGCCGAGGCAGCCAATGGGGGCCGAGGGTGGGGGTGGGGGCGGCTGGGGCGGCCAGGCCTGCACACAGGGCTGCATTGACCAACTGCCACGGCCACCCAGGGACTCGCTGGGGAGCCGGGACTGCACATGGGGCAGGAAGTGGGGAGTCAGCTTTTTGTGCCATTTTTAAATTTATACACGAATATTGATGTTCCTCTAAAGGCAAGGTTGGAGGTGGGGAGAGGAGAGAGACGGATTAATTGATTCAGACAAAGCAAATGTGCGGCCAAGAACATGAAGCTTCCAAGTACAGGCTGAACGCAGAGGATTAAACTCTGAATACAGAGTTTCCAATGGAGAAGCCCTGAGCTTCTCTCCCCTGGTCTGGCCCCCACCCTCGGACGGGTCGCCCTGCGGACATCAGTACTCTGAGCTAAGCAGGGTTGCCTTGAGAAGCCGCTGACCCCAACATCTGCAGGAACTGAAATGTGTGGCAAAGTAGGAACTTGATGCTTTTAGGGAAAAATCCTTATTTAATATGATGGAGGCACGTGCCAGGTGCACCCCAAGGCCTCCTTCACCCCAGGGTGAACAGTCACAGACTGTCAGACCTAGACAGTGCCCCAGACATGTCCTGTCCAAATGCTGTGTGTTATAGACAGGTACAGGCGGTGAGCCCCTCTCTGAGGCCCCACAACCAGCCACAGGAAAGCCAAGTACAGACTTCCCACTGCCCGTCTTCAGTGGTACCCTACCCAAGCTATTTCCAAGCAGAAACTCAAATGGTAGGCATTCCTCTAGACTCATTATACAAAAAGCATTTGCCCCAAACTCATCAAAGGACGTCTAAACCAGAATCAGGGCCCTTGTGCTGACTCAGGTCACAGTGGCCACGGAACGATCAAAACACAAAGATGTCTGTGGACACAGTTGTTTTGTCGTCATCTGTTTTACCAGGAAATTCATGACTGTTCAACACCCAGAAATGTCCCCCGGAAATAGCATGGGGGCTGTGAGCCTCGGGGCTTGAGTCGTCCTCACCTGGACCCCAAGCCTGTCCCCACACCCCCGTGAGTGGGACCTGAGCGATGTGGTTTGGCTGTATTTCCTCAGCTGCCCCACAGGCTGCGGTCTCGTGAAGGGTCAGACACCTGCTTGCTCTGTGAAGCGCAGAACTTCCCACATCTGAGGAAGGAGCAACCGTGTGCTGGGTGCCCAGGCACTGTGTCTGAGGGAGCGCTGCTCCTGCACACCCTAACCACTCCCCCGCGCGGCAGCCTGGGCTCTGGGTTTGCCCTTCAGGGTTCACAAAAAAGCTTCAGCCTGCTCACGCAGTTTGGAATCCACTCATCTGACCACTGGATGCCTGAGCATGGGGACTGCCATCTGGACACAAACCTCACAGGCTCCTGGGACAGCCAAGAGTGGTGCCCTGTGCCCACCCTGTTCCAGCGTCTGTGGGAGCAGGCGGGAGAGGACGTTCTTCAGAGAAGTGAGAGAGTGGTGTCAGGGCTCACAGGCTGCGAGAGAAACAGCCCATCTGGAGGAGAGGGGCTTTCACGTGCTGTGGGGCCCCCAGGGTGGCATCCTCCCCCACTCCCCAGGAGCTCACAGACACAAGTTCTTCATGTAACTTTAGAAGAACATGGGAAAGACATCTGTGACCTCACCAAGTTTCCACAGACTCACAACTCGAGGCTGAGTTTCGGCGCCATCGCTTGACAAAAGTGTGACTTGGGACAAATTAGAACTGTTCTGCGAGGCGGGTGATCAGACCCCTCACCTCACAGGGTTGTCTGGGGCCAGAAGTCCTTCCTTGACCTTCACACTTCCAGAGGACCCTGCTTCCCTTTCCTGACACCCTAGTTTTGAGTCTCATCTCATTAGACTAGAACCCCTGGTCTAGTCATGTGTGACTTGCACATTCACTGCCTCCCCCCAACTGTTTTCCACAGGAGGACCCTGTACTAAAGCACCTAGAAATACGTTATTGAGTGGGACACCCGTGAAGCTCTTTGCTTGTGGTCTGCGTATGACCATATGGGATGCCGTCATCGAAATAGTCTCCCCTGTTTCAGTGGGGATGGTGGGATTTCAGAGTAGCAGAGCTGAATGACCTCACTCAACCATCAGATAGGGTGGGTGTGTCTGCTGTAAAGGGGAGAGGGACAGACCAGTAATCAGAATGCCTTGGTCCCCGGAGCTCTTTGGCAGTGGCTTACTGATCACAGTGTCCCTAGCAATGAGACAGATGGATGGCCTACTTGAGTAGTCCTTAACCCACACAACAGGAAAACTCTAGGTCTGGTAGCCAAAGCCTGACTTGAATCACCACAGTGGAGAATCACATCCTCTCTCCAAGTTGCCAGACCGAAGTCGGGTTGGACCAGAGCCTCTTGATTGAAGGAGAGGCAGGTCCCCTTGAGAGAGACCCTGCACTACTGCCAGTGTACGTGTGTGAGTGTTCTCCACACCTTCCCCACCTGCACTGCAGACACTTACTAATGCGACCGTGTAGTAGGGAGAAGGAAATACCCAGATCTCTTCAGGGATTATTAGATATAGGCTCTGCATTGATGCTAAGTCCTGGGGCCACAAAACGGACCTGTGGCCCACTGGTCAAAGTAGGGATTTCAGGTGACAGTCTTAACTCTACCAACTCACATTGGGCCCAGGTCATGCACAGATTTTCTCTGTAGGTATTTCTTCAGCTCCTGAATGTATAATCAAAACAGACATACTTGGTCATTAGCAGAATCCCCTTGTTGGCTCTCTTACATAACGAGGTGAGGCTCATTATGATAGGAAAAGCTAGGCGAACATCCCTAGAAATTTTCTTCTTATCATGACAGTGATAAGTAAACCAGAAGCAATACTGCAGCCCTTGGGAGAATTTCAGAGATCAATGCCACCATCAAAGAGCTGACATAAGCAGGGGTGGTGTTACTTATCACAAGCCCATTTAACTTGCCAATTTGGCCCGTGCAGAAGTCCGGTGGATTATGGAGAATGACTGTGGACTGTCATAGATATATCAGCTGGTGACTTAAATTGCAGTTGCTGTGCCAGATGAGGTATCGCCACTGGAGAAAATCAACATAGCCCCTGGCACTTGGTACACAGCTACTGATCTAACTAATACCGTTTTCTCCAAACCAATTTTCAAAGACCACCAGAAGCACTTTTTTACCTGGCAGGGCCAAAGGCATACCCTCATAGTGTCCCCTGAGGCACATGTCAGCTCTCCTGCTCCTCGCCATAATATTATCTGCAGAGGTCTTGATCATCTGGGCAGTCCACAGAGCATCACACTGGTCACTCTACTGATGACAGTGTGCTGATTGGGTGTGATGAGAAGGAAGTGGCAAGTACTACAGATGCCTTAGTAAGCCACATGCAAACTAGCGAGTGGGAGATAAGCTCCACAATTTCGAGGCCCACCACCACAGTGAGGTTTCCGGGAGTTCAGTGGTCTGGAACATGTTGAAATGTCCCCTTCAAGTGAGAGACAAAGTGCTGCACCTTGTACCACCTGCCAGGAAAAGAAGCACAGCATTTAGTCAGAGTTTGGGGATTTTAGATACGAATGTGCTACACTTGCCTGCGCTACTTCAACCTGTGAGGCTGGCAGTTTCAAGTGGGGAACAGAGCAGGTTTAGGCTGCAGTACAAGCTGCTTTCCCCTTGGTCCTTCAGATCCAGTAGATCCGATGGTATTCACAGTGTCTGTGGCACACCGGGATGTGGTACAGACCCTCTGACAAGCACCAGTAGGAGAATCCCAGCTCAGACCTCTAGGATTTTAGAGCAAGTCTGTGTCCTCTTTGGCAGCTAAGGATTCTCATTTTGAGAACAGCTTCTGGCTTGCTACTGGGGCTTAGCAGAGACTGAACACCTAACCCTGGGACATCAGGAGACCATGCAGCCCTAGTGTTGTCTGACCCACCAAGCCATAAGGTTGGTGTGTGTACCAGCAGTGTATCATCAAATGGAAATGTCTAGGAAATGAGTAGGTGGCTCAGACTCCTTGGACACCAACTCCTGTTGCATCACCTCCCCTCTCTCAATCCATGCCTGTGTCCTCCTGGGGTATTTCTTATAACCAGCTGACTGTGGAAGAAAACACTTGAGCCTGGTTTATAGGTGGGTCTGCATGATACGCTAGTATCACCCTGAAGGGGACAGATAGAGCACAACAGCCTCACTCAAGGGTTACCCTGAAGGATGGTGGTGAAGGGAAGTCCTCTCATGGACAGAGGTTTGAGCAGCACATTTGGTTGTCCAGTATGTCTGGAGTGAGAAGTGGCCAGGGTATGGATCTTGGTTAATTCATGGGTTGTTGCTGATGAGTTGGTTGGTCAGCAAGTTGGAAGGAACAGGATTGGAAAATTGGTGACAAGGAAGGCTCTGGAAGAGGCATGTGATGGACCTCCCTGAATGAGCACAGTTTATGAATACATTTGTGTTCTGAGTGAATGCTCACCAGTGGGCATGCACTGCAGAGGAAGCTCTTAATAATCAGCTGGAAAATGATCGACCCTGTGGGTGTCAGCCAGGTATTACTGCAGCCACTTCAGGGCTCGCTTAATGTGTTCATGAACAAAGTGGCCACGTGGCAAGAATGGAGGCATGCATGTGCTCAATGACATGGACTTCCCCTCACCAAGGCTGACCCAGCTACTGCTGCTGCGGCTAGGCCACTAGCCAAGATCAACAGTGAGTCCTGTGGTGACCAGCCAGACACATGGTGGCAGGTTGATTACATTGGACCTCTTCTGTCATAGAAGGGGCAGAAATCTGTCCTCACTGGAATAGACATATATTCTGAATATGGATTTGATTTCCCTGTCTGTACTGCTTCTGCCAACACAACATCCACGACCTCACAAAAGCCTTATCCACTGTAATGGCATTCTGGACAGCATTGCATCTGATCAAGGAACTCATTTCACAGCAAAGGAAGTGTAGCA